TGAAATATACACATGCTGCCATCAGACAGTCGTTAGTAGTATAAATTGACCTCAATTTAGTACTGCCTATTCTCCCATTCATTTTGTACAGAATATACTCTTTCTTTCCCTCTGGCCTTCCTATGACTTCTCTCTTCTCCTAAGAAGCCAGCCCTGGAAGACCGCAGCCTAGTAGGGTTAAAACTTATTAGCCTTGACAACACACGGCAAGCTTACCGAACGAGTTTGGTTTGTGGTCTAATTTTTCTACCCGTCACTTAACGCCTTATAAACAGCGCATGAACACTGAACAGAGAGGAGCATGACTCATCCGTAGACTATCTACGCAGCAGCATGCAACGTGGGATCTGGTTGTCTTAAAATGCGATCTGTGTACACGAGATGTGTCAGTCTCTGAAAAGTGGCATAGGTGGACTTGCCGTTTACGGCGGCTTGCCTTTAAGCTAGCCTTTTTTTAGTATCACATTTACACTTTGGCAGCTGTTCTGCAAGTACATATTCCAATAGCTGGGATCACCAGGAGCTGTGGGATGCTGTTACTATGACTGTCGGAATACCTCCGGGTAGGACTGTATTTAAAATACTAACCGACTTTTACAATTTGCAGTAGCCAGACTTGCATTTTTTCGTTAAATTCCGCCAATATAAGGTCAAATTTCCATCAGTAGGCATCAGCAGCCTGGGCAACAGGAGTTTATGTTGATGGGGTTTATCCTATTTAGTGCATTAAAGCAACTATATGTGACTTTAATTAATATTCTTTGGTCACTTTTGACACAATTACATATTCATTTACACTCGTCAACCAAGAATTAAATGTTTAACCATTGAGTCCATAAGACATTTGGGTGGGGGGGAATATGTATTTAGGCGGCCCTGCAAGACAGCCTTGCCTTCCTCTGTAATATAACCCATAAAAACCTCTCAAGCAAGCAATGCGGACCAAAGAGAACATATAGAGCAGAATTAGTATGAGGCATTTATGTCTTAAATATCCAGAGGCCATCACTTACGCGTGCATGATCGAAGTGGGGAGCGTAGTGGCCCCCGAGACCGTAATTGGCCACCTGCAATTCCTCACTCTCCTCCATACTCAGTCCAGTCACGAACTCGATCCTCTTATTAATGGACTTGATTATGGGCGTCAGATCGTTGGGAAGCCATACGCTGAAAAAAAGATGCAAAAATCTTTATATGCTCTCGAAGAGAAAGTAGTCGCGCTCAATTTCAAACATTTAGCAAGTCCAGTTCAGCAACTGTACGCTTTCGATTCTTGATCCTCTATACAGGCCTGTACATTGGGGATAGGATAGCAAAAAGGAAATGTATGTGCTCTAGGCAAGTCGGAGAACAAACTCGCCTTTATTAAAAAGCTCTGAGATGAAATTGCATTCCCAAAGAGTATTCCATGTCAGGAACATGCCCCACAAATCGGACGTGCAGACAGCTGCGAAGAAATAGTTATTTTTCATACCGTCAGTCCGAGGGGATCCGGCCAACGAACTTCCACAAAAATACCTAAACGCTGCTATCGCGTGCCCGTACCCAGCTACCAAAAAAAAGGTTGTACTCAACTTCTTCGCTTTGAAGGTAAAGTTAAGAAATCCATTCAGACCCTTGCCATGTGCACCAGCGACGTAAGTGTATCCTGTGGAGCGTGGATTACGTTGGTGAAAAGACTGGGTGTTTGCGCAGGAATACCATCCTGTCTGGCTAAATCTAGGTATCGAACAAGACGGTGGCTGCGGCTAACTTGGTTGACAGCGACTATCGAGTGGATAAGCAGTCCGAGCTATCTATAAAGTGTCGACGAGACACTCCCGTGTTAGTGAACACTTGCGACGGCAGAGGCCGCGATCTTACGGTTCGCCAACCCAACACATTTATAGACGTCTAGGGTTCCCCCGTGCGCAAAATGAGCCCAGCATGTTCGCTGTAGCATCCTGCTACGTCGCGCTACAATAAGGCAATAGAAGCATTGCCGAACGCATTCTCTCCCCCACCCCCTAATCCATTCTCTGACAGATATAGGCTGTAACCAATCCAACATCTGAACGCCCTCAACCCTTCCTTTCATGCCTACCCTTCATTGGTTATTTAAACTTTTGTTTATATAACTGCAGCGGTGCT